ATATATACACACATTTGAAAGAAAAAGTTTGAGAAATATAAATATTATGATTTTTGGTAATCCAACCATTATCTAAGCATTTCCTACTCCAAATTTCAGCAGCTCTCAAACAGGACTGTTAGTTCTCCCACTTGATGAACATCTATTTCATCCTCATTATATTAGTTTGCCTTTTCCCTATTTTTCTTATTCTCTGGCATTCTTATATAGTATATTTATGTCTTCTCTATAAGATGCTCAAGAAATGAGACCTGTGGATTTAATAAACACTCTACTTTCTGTCTCCACCACTTAACACTTTGTGATACTGGGTCACTTATTGTCTTTAGATTTATCTTCTCTGAGACTGGAGTGATACTACCAACCAGTTCCCTAAGCTGAATTGGAATAAAAAGAACTTTGTGCTGGAAGAATATTTTGCAAGGATAAAACATTATACAAATATTAGTTTTTAAAAGTCAAGGGTCTAAAATATGAGTATTGCTTTAAACTGCTAATTGAATTGGGACTAAGTTGATTTCCCTTTCCAGGTCTTAGCACCCTCATTTTCAAAATAAAGAGGCTAGGATGCCTTCCAAATCTAAAAATCTAGAATTCAAGTTTCATGTGTAGGAATGTCTTGTCACTATACTTGGCTGTTTTGCCTTTTGAACACATTCATTTATTTTCTTTTCTCTATATTAGGTACTAGGGATTGAATGCAGCAGAGATTTACCACTGTTACATCCCTAGCCCCACTAGCTAAGTTGTCAAGACTGGCCTCAAACTTGTGATCCTCCTGCCTCATTCAGCCTCCTGAGTAGTGTGGATGACAGGCATGAGCCACCATGACTGGCTCACTTCCTTAGTATTAGAGAAAGGAGGTACTAATTTATCCAGCAAGGACAATAAACATTGCAAGGATGTGTTTTCATATTCCAGTTGCCTTTGAAATGTTATCACTTATAAATTATCTGCATATATCCTTATGCAATTAGTACAAGCAGGTGGGTGTTTTACAGTATACAAAAACTTCCAACACCTTCTGTTGAGATCTCTTTTCCACCATTAAGGGGTATACATATACATCTACAAATATATCAGTGTTTCTTAACCTCTGCACTATTAACATTTTAGGTCAGATAATTTTTTGTCATGGGGAGTTATCCTGTGTTCTCTGTAGGGATATTTAGTAGTATTCCTGACCTTTGCCTACTAGAGTTCAGCAGTATGAGTGTGCAGGTATGTGCTTGCTCTCACTCTGTCTCTCTTCTCTCCAGTTTTGACCATCAAAATTGTTTCCAGACATTGACAAATGTTATATAAAATCTCACACACATACACAAATGAATCAACATTCCCTCTCCCCAGGCCTATATTCAATTGTCTGTCCCGTAAGTATTCATTCGAAACTCTACTCATCTCCAAACCCTCAATCAACTCCAAACATGATAAATGGCCCCTCCAAGAACCTTCAACCTAAACAAAAGGCTGGGTTCCTTTCTAATCCAATGAACAACAAGACACTACACTATGTGGTATCTTTCCAATATGGCAACTCCTCTGTATTCCCATGTCATCCTTTAGATCCTCCTCACACACTTAGTCTATTTTTCTCCAACATCACATCATTACCTTCCAAATTATTCTTCACTCGTTGTCATTGTTCTTCATAAAATGTATGCCTCAAAATGAAATTCAAACTCTTAGCTTGACCCTAAGACTCATGAGCTAGTTGAGGACTGCCTCATCTACTAATGCTTCCCAAATGCATCTTTCAACCCAGACTTTCCCAAATATTTTATGCTTATAATCATGCCATGGTCATTTTTTGCTTCACTTTTCACAGTTGTTTTCCAACAGTGGCTAAAACTATAGGTTAGGAAGTTAGGCTATGTGAAGGTTAATTTTGTGTCAACTTGACTAGGCCACAATCTCCATATATTTGGTCAAACACCAGTCTAAATGTTGCTGTAAACATATTTTTAAAATGAGATTTAATGTTATAATAAGAGAATTTTGAACAAAGCACATCACCATTCCATCCAATCCAATCTGATAAATAGTTCAGGACAAAAAGACTGAGGTCCTCTGAAGAAGGAGGAATCCTGCTACAGACTAACTGCCTTCAGACCTAAGCTGAAACATCAACTCTTCCTTGGGTCCCCAGGCTGCCAGCCTGCCAGCCTGCCCTGCAGATGGTAGACTTATCAGCCTCCACAATCATGAGAGCCAATTTCATAAAACATCTTCTTCTATATGTGCACTGTATCAAAACATATACCTCCTATTGATTCTGTTCCTCTGGAGAACACTAATATAAGCGACTTTAGTTCAAAACCTAACAGCATTACTTATAAGCTGTGTGACCTCAGGCAAACAGTACCTTTCTAAGCCTCCAATTCCTCAACTGTAAAATAGAGATATTAACTAAAGCTTCCTATACCAGGGCTACTGTAATTAAATGTAACTATATGTATACTTTGCTTTGTAAACACTCTCAGAAAGTACCCAATAACTGTTAAGACATAAGTACTCAATCACTGTTATTACCCAATATCTATTTATTTCACAAGGAAGTTCACATGGTCAGAAAAGCCATCTCTAGCCTCCCCAACTCAGTGATATTAATGAGTACCATATTACACCACATAATCATTGCAGATTATGCCACATTATTTTTGCAAAAAATTATGTGGCATACCATTATGTGAAGATTTTAAAAACTTGTATCAGTTTTACTTAAAATTCATACAGAGCTGGGGTTGTGGCTCAGTGGTAGAGTGCTTGCCTGGCATGTGGGAAGCACTGGGTTCAATTCTCAGCACAATAAATAAATAAATATCCATCAGCAACTTAAAAAATTCATTTATTACTAAACAAGTCTTTGATGCAACATTAGGATGAATGGAATATGCACGAATATATGTTAATACTGCAGTAAAATACAGTATACTAAAAGGCCCACCAAAGTGGTCTGTGCATATCACAACATACCACTCTTCTATAAAGGTAAGATTAAGAGACTACAAACAAATTACAGGCAGAGATCATGCTGTAATTCAACCTAACACAATGCCTGGCACATAGTAGTAATTCAATAAATACATATCTCTTAGGATGCAGAAAAAAAGGAGGAAAACCTTTAGTTGTCCAGCTTGAAAGAATAAAGTCATTACCAATCAAAATAAGCATCTCTACAACAAGACTCTAAAGTTGGTTACAAAAAGCAGCAATTAAACCCCCACACAGTACACATTTAAATGCTGGCTCTTTCTGTTCAAGAAATGAAGAGTGAATCAGTTTTAATACCACCTTCAAACACAACCCTTGTTATATAAACAAAAATTTGCTCAAGAGAAATGAATTTCTACCCCAATGATAAAAGCCTTCTAATTATAAACTTGACTGAAAGTGTACTTCTCCCATAAAACTCTTGCTTCCAGGTAAACTAATTTTGTTTTAAATCCTTAATTTATAACCTAGACCATCTGGTAGCTCATGTGTAAAGAATACAAAACATGTTGAATAAACAACACTTTCTGAAAGGTTTCTCCTCCCCAACAGACACATCTAATGATATTTATGAGTATCTCTCAATGATTTCCTTACAATTTGACAGGACTCTAATTTTGATTTAAAAAAACTTAAAATATCAGAAACTACAGCTTTGAACATGTGAAATTTTCAAGTGAACTTCTTCCTTGTCTTATAATTTCTTGTCCCCATGTGAATATTTATTTGCCCTGTAGACTTTTTTTTTAAAGAGAGAGAGAAAGAGAATTTTTTTAAATATTTATTTTTTAGTTTTTGGTGGACACAACATCTTTTATTTTATTTTTATGTGGTGCTGAGGATCAAACCCAGTGTCCCGCACATGCCAGACAAGCATGCTACCGCTTGAGCCACATCCCCTGCCCTGTAGACTTTTAAAAATTACTTTATATTATGACTTTTTAAAACTGTTTTCACCTTTGAAGAAACGTTCCTTTCACGATGTTCTTTTTCCTCCATTCCTCCATTCCAACTTCTGGTTTAGAAGCTTACATTCCATGTTTCACTTGAACTTATGTGCATTACTGTCAGGCTTGGGGTTATACCTGTCTTAGGACCCTGGAGAGCTTGTAGAGTCAGGCTTTAAAGCGTACTGAAATCAAATCTACTCATCAACATGAGAGCTCAAGTACAAGCCCTATATACTCTTAAAATATTGAAGTCCCAGTTGGGTAAGACACTAAGACTGAAACTAGAGCAGGAGATATTAACCTAAATTTGGTCAAGAAATCTGAAAATCTGCTGGATGTGATAGCATATACTTGTAATC